AGTTATCTGTGTACTACCCGCCGTATCCAAGAGTTAAGAACGAAGTGCCCGAATAATCCTCGAACTTTTTTTTTCCGTGTACGGAACCTAACTGAACACAGACGCTTTATTTTCAGTGACTTGTTGAGTTATTGATTTTGGTGATTCAATAAAGCATTTATTGACACTAATACACTACATCAAATAAATAAATTGTTTAATAATAATATTAACAATATTAATAATATAATAACCCATTATTCATAAATTAATATTTTTATAATTAAAAAAAAAATGTCAAAACATTTAAGTTAAAAATAATATTTATAAATTAATAATAAAAATGATAGTTGTTGTTTGCTTTTTTGTTTCTAAACTTTTTTATAATTTTTCTTTTTAAATAATTTTAATTTTAAATTTAATGTGTATTGACAATCTTCAAATAGTTGCAAAGAATTTTATCAAAAAGTTTGATAATAATAGAATTCCTTCAAAGAATTTCTTTATTTAAAAAGAAAACTAAATTCTCGCAAAGAATTTCATTAATATTTTTAAAATCCTAATTAAATTCTTTTGAAGAATTTCTTTGAATTTTTTTTAAATTAATGGAGTTTCTTTAATAATTTTAATTGAAAAATTCGAAAGCAATTGAATTTTATGAAGAAGAATTTTATTAAAATTGTATTGAAAATAATTGACTTCATGCGATGAATTTTACTATTTATAAAAATAATTAAAATGTTTCAAAGAATTTATTAAAATTTTAAGAAATAATTAAATTGTTATGAAGAATTTTATAGAAATATTTAAAAATCATAACATTTTTTCGTGAAATTTAATTAAAGTTGTTTCGAAAATAATTGAATTTCTTAAAAGAATTTTATTATTCTTGTTAAAATTGAATTTTTCGGAAATTTTTGAAAATAATTAAATTAATTTGTTTAATTTTATTTAAATTGGATTAAAAATTATTTAATTTTTGCAAAGAATTTTATTATTTATCAAAATAGTTGAATTGTTTCGAAGAATTTATTAAAGTTTTAGGAAATAATTGCAATTTATGAAAATATTAAAAAATATTTGAATTCATTCAAGGAATTCAATTAAAATAATTGAATTCCTGCAAAGAATTTTACTATTTATAAAATGAATTGAAATTTTCAAAATAAAAAATTTTGTAATTTGCATAACAATAATAAGTTGAATATCTTGTTCCGTGCGTAACATTTGCTATTGTAAGAATGTAATTGAATCAATACAGGGATTTAGGTTCAATTAGGACTTGAAAAGGAGTTGTCAGAGTTAAATAGAACTTACGCAGGAGGAAAAGAACACCAAGGGTTTCTTAGGTGCAGGTTAGGGTTAAATTATACTTACAAGGAGGTAAGCAGGTCTAAAAGTTCGACTCGGGATTTTAGCGTTTTAACATTATTATTAAAATTTTTACAGATTCTAAATAAAAAACCAGTCATTCTATTAACATCTTTAATTAAAGACTCTATATGAAAGACAAAAGAAAGACCATCATCAACATATACACCAAGATCTTTTACCACTGTAGATCTCTCCAATATCTCATTATTAATTGAGTAAGGATAACTGATCCTGTCACGCTTCCTAGTAATAGAAAGAACCATACTTTTTCTCACATTAATCTCCATTCCATTTAAATCACACCAATCAATATATTTATTGAGGTTAGCCTGTAATTCCTCACAATCCAAAAAAGATAACACAGGTAGATACAGTTTAGTGTCATCAGCAAATAATTAATAAAAACAATTCAAGCCATTACCAACATCATTTAGAAAAATTATAAATAAAAGAGGCCCAAGATTAGAACCTTGAGGTACACCCGATGTTGATGGAAATGACTCAGAACGTATACCACAGTATTCCACAAAATTTGTTCTGTTTTGTAAATATGAATATAAAATATTCAATAATTTATTATTAATTCCAAAACTTTTAAGTTTAGATAAAAGAACACTGTGGTCAACTAAATCAAAAGCCTTTGACATATCAATATAGAGAACATCTACCTGATCATGAAGAAGTAGCAAGTTACTAACAGAGTGGATAAACGTGACAAGATTAGTATTAACTGATAGGTCTAAAATTTTCAATATCATTCTTATCTCCTTTTTTGGAAACTGGTGTGAATTTAACTTGTTTCCACACTTTTGGAAACTTACCCTGAGAGAGTTAAAGTTTAAATATTTTTAATAATGGTTGAACAAGTAGTGGAGCACAATGTCGCAAAATCTTTGCAGGAATATTGTCAGTTCTTTATTATAAGTTTAATTTTTATAAGTTCAATTGCTTAAAAAATAGATTATGTTTTAGTGACTTCGACGGGAAAGATGTTTATTTATTAATTGCAATTACTTACAAAAAGAAAAAATTATTTTTATCACTAAAAAGTAGTATTTTACATAATTTTTAAAAACTTACCTATATCCTTCTTATCCTTATTTTAATCACAAAACTTTTTTCACTTCTGATCACTTATGATATTTTATATATAGGGGAGAGTGGGGCAAGATTATTATTTTTAATTATCATCTTTGGGAATCAGTCTTCTGTAAAAAAGGCGTACAAAGGCCATCTGTTTCTTAAAAAAGCTTATAATTAATAATATTGAAAAAATTGCAAATCTCCCCATCTTGCCCCACCGGCGGGTAAGATGGGGTACCCTAAGGGGTAAGATGGGGTACTAAAAAAAACCTATTTCTGTCAACAAATTTTACAAGTGAAGGTTGCATCTTGATCTTCGTCGTCTACACCAGCACAACTGCAGTTAGCCCATCCCAGTAAAAAAAAACTAATTCAAATGAATTGAAACGAATTAACATTTTTGGTAGGCTCCAATTCGTATTTGTCACAAAGCGGGATTCACTTAAGCTCTTTGTATATTCAATTGAATTTAATTCAATATGTACCAATTTGTCCAAACGAATTCGCATTCGAAAGAAATGGCCAAGGAATGCATTGAATTCGTGCTAAGGAATTGAAAAAAATTAAAGGCTCAAAACTTGTCCAGTGAATTGGTACGGATAGAAGGTTCGGAAGTTCAATACAGTTTCACGAATTCGGGAAAATTGCATCATGGCTCCAATTCGTATTTGTCACAAAGCGGGATTCACGAAAGCTCTTTGTGAATTCTTTTTAATTCATTTCAATTTGTTTTCGTTTACTGGGATTGGCCGCAGACAGAACAAGCAGCCTAGCCTTCATTTGAGTCTAAATAATAACCATTACAATAGAGACAAGGTGTATTTTCCACTTTACCATCGCTAATTGATGATTTAACCTGACAAGCTTTTTTCTTTTTGGCCACTTTTATTTTATTCAGTCTTGATTTAAGTAGTATTCTTAACTTCTCTTATTTCTCTTTTCTTTTGCTTAATTTGTGTACCCCGTCTTGCCCCACTCTCTCCTACCCCATCTTGCCCCCACCTACGAAATTGAAGAAAAAGGTTAATTACTACAATTTACGATTCAACAAAGAAAAAAAACATATGCTTCCCTTCTTCTGTAACCCTTCCCAGTTAGAAAAAAATTTATACAGTTCATTAACCGTTATTATTAAATAATAAACACATCCTAAAGAAGTGAAAAAATGACAAGAAAATCGTCGAAAACAGTTTTTTTAGTAAAACAGATAAAAGATTTGTTCTCATGGCTTTTAGGTTTTGTAAACAAGAAACTATCGTCTCGGTGCAGTATTATGTAAAATATAATCGCGATTGGTTAATTCGTTTGTTAAATAGGGCCGGTACCCCGTTTAACCCGCAACCCCGTGTTGACCCACTCTCCCCTATTTTGTTATTGTTTTGTCACTTTTTATCATCCCATATATTAAGAATATTATTAAGAATGATGAAGAATATTTAAGAAAAAAACACGTGTTCTTCACTTTGTAATCTGTAATACTTTGTAATATTCATCATGTCTCATGTATGTATAATACTCGCACTCGACCACGTGGAAAAAATTAGAACCTCAAAACTGCGCGCGAACAAAAATTTGACATTATTTCAGCCAATCGCTACCGTCATCATCGTATTTCAACCAATCGCGATTGTCATCATCGTATTTCAACCACTCGCGACCGTCACTCTCAAACTCCAGCCAAAAAAATAGCTGTTTTTCTATTAAGGATTCTATTAAGGAATTGTCAACATTGCCTCAACATTTATTATGTTCGTCCTGAGGAAACATTGCCTAGTAATTTTTATACAACATTGACAGGTAAACTTAAAAAATATTATAAAACAATTATAATATTTTAATATACTACAACATTACGACGAGGCAATGCTGCCTCAGTATTGCGTAAATATTGCTATTGCCTCAATATTTCCAAGAAATGTTCCCATATGGCGGATATAATCAATGTACCTACAGATTGTATATTTTAACTCAAATATCTCGTTTATATTTGTAAAAATTGAACATGTAGTGCCATCGAAAAGTACATTTTATACTGAATTTTATATTTCGTGAGTAAAATTAGTCACCCTTTTTGTTTTAATAAAGTGATTTTAAAATATAATTTTTTAAATTTAGGAAGTGTGCGCTAAATTTATTAGTGAAATATAAAAATTACGAGTCATTGTTGTAGTAAACAATGTTTCTAAAGTAAATATTAAAAAATAATACCTATGAAAGTTCGTAACAATTAAGAAACTATTTAGTGTCTGGAATAATCGTATTATTTTTTATGTCAAATTTTATGGATGAATTTTAAACCGCATATACTGTGAATATATAGAAATAGTGCATGCTATCGGTCTAGAGACCATGTTTATTTTTGCCCGTCTGATTCTTTTTACATCGTTTTTTGACTTAACCCAACTTCCTTTACTTCAACGTACTCGTATATATTCTTCCCTCTTTTTCCTCCCTACTTCTTCATCGACGTCTATATCTTTCTTCTCCCACGCTTCTTTTGCGATAGAGAACTCTCCTCTCAAGAGAGAGAGAGAGAGGCACCCACTCTCGTCGAAGCAAGAAACACAACTCAGTTTGGCACGCGCCAGTTCAATCGAGTGAAAGTCCAGGAAAACAGTTACCAGGCCACTTAGTTCGCTCACTGCTCGTGTCGTTGATTTAACTGCTTATCGAAGCGCGCGCGCGAGGGTGAAACACTTTTAGCACCAAGTGCGAATAATGTCACGTAATACTAGTTCGAGACCATTTCTCGTATGTTTGTCCTGATAGAACATTGTTGAATCTATATAGTGCAAGAATAGAAACTTTTTCCTGATGAATTTTTCAAAAAAAGAATATATCCCCCTTTTTCTCTCGAATGATAGGTGAAAAGATATGAAAAGTTCAAAGTATTCTTATCAGAAGAAACAAAATGCGCGAAACTTTTACTGCTTTCACTGTTGTTGACAATAAAATCCTAACAACCATTAAGTAAAATGAACTTTACTTCCAAACACTTTCCAATACTTGCACTGCATTCAGTGTTCCTATAGTCATAAAGTTGGTAAATCGATGAAAGCTTCAATGAATTTTTCATTTTGTTCCATTTTGGAAAGAGAGTTTTCTATTTGAAAGCAATTTTTATATATTTCTCGATTGTATTTTTGTTTCTTGCAAAAAAACCAAGTTATTTTCAATTTATGTTTCTCATATAATGCATTTTGTATACAGATTCGCAGTATTAAAAATGGATAGTGAAAATACAAATTTATCTGCTAAACAGTGGAGGCTGTGTATACTGTGATTAATAATGATTAACAGAATGGTTAATGAAGTGAAACACAAGAGCGAAATATTCAATGCACATTATGGAAAGAGAAGATGATGAAAATGCTATAGAAATTATTAAAGAGGTGTGTAAACTAATGTATGATACTTTTTTAAAATTTATGCTAACGATACATTTTATTAATATAAATAAATTTATAAAAAAAAAGAAAAAAAAATTTTTAAGCAATTATATTATAAAAAAATCTTATACTTCGTAAATGTTCTCCAACATGCTGTTTGTATATGGGGCATTCCAGGCCAAATCGGAATTATTTTTCTTTTGCATCTCAAATTTTTTTTAACATTTTTTTTTCTTTTAGTACTCTTTGAAATGAGCTACCTTGATTTTTTCAAATTTTTTCATAAAGCGGTTCAGGAGATACAGATTTTTGAAAAATGACGTTTTTTACGTAAATTTTTTTTTAAATGCTTATAACTCGGTCAAAAATTAATCAAATTGGACGTTTTTATAATGAAAAGTTTTGTTTTTACGCGTAGTTTTCAATAAAAATATTTTTAAGTAATTTACGATAAGATTTAAAAATTTTTAAAATAAAATTTCATTTTTAACAATGTATGTACTGATTAATTTTTTTCAAATTTTTTTGTAAGAAACTGGCACTAAATTAACAATTTTTAAGCCTTGTCCGATCGTGGGCAAACGATGGGATTTATTTATTTAAAATTTTTTAATGTTTAAATACACAGTGAAAAAGGTAAGCCTAACTTGTCATTTGACCAAATCACAATTTTACACAGAAAGAAGGTTAAGTTTGGAGAGACTCAGTCTGAAAACACATTTGCTGTGAAAAATTTGTGTGATTTTGTCAAATGGCAAGTTAGTCATTTGGCCACCACTGCGTATATCAAAATTAAAAATTTCAAAATAAATAGATCCCATCGTTTGCCCACGATTGGACAAGGCTTAAAAATTGTTAATTTAGTGCTAGTTTCTTACAAAAATTTTGAAAAAATTGATCGAAACATACATTAAATTATTTTTAAAAAATGTAATAGTTTATTGAATAAATGAATGTTTATCAAAATTGAATTCTCATAAAGAATCCCGATTCTACAAATGTCAATCGTTTTAATATGACAATTAAAAATTCCGACTCTTCAAAGACCAACTCTACAAATTCCAAATTTGCATTATATGACAATTAACGATACCGAGTTTTCAATGATCGACTCTACAAATTCCAATTTTGCATAATATGAGAATTAAAGATACCGACTTTTCAATGACCGACTCTACAAATGTCAATTGACCGAAAAAATTTATTAATTTTGGTTCAAATTAAAATTCTTCCGTTAACGAACGAGGTGGGATAGTAAACTAACAAAATTTTGTTTGATTTTGATTTCAGTTTACTTGTTCCCGTTTTATCATATACACACCGCAAGCCGCTTTAAAAAAAGTTGTTTGGGGCATCACAATTATTAATATTTTTGAAGTTTCAAAGTTCATAAAACTATGTACTATCTGATGCAATGTACAGTATTATATATATGTAATCCCTTAATTAAGTCGACATTATTTGACGCTTACTGCAATTACTTACTATGCAAAATTGGAATTTGTACAGTCGGCCATTGAAGGGTAGGATTTTCTAATTGTCATATTATGCAAAATCGGAATTCGTAGAGTCGGTCTCTGAACATTTAGGATTTTTAATTGTCATATTAAGGGCATCTGGGAAATTCCCTCTCGAAAAGTGGTTTCCCCTTTGTTATCTCATTCACCGAAAAAAAATTTCGATGGTATTATTAACTATGAACCTATAGTTAATGTAAAAAGGATTCTTAATCATTGTGGTTAGGATCTCTTGGTTGATTCAATAAATCCAAGGCTTGTAAAAACAACCCTGTAAATCCTGGTCAAATTGGCTATAGGATATTTAGTAATTTTGCCTATTTCCATAACGCGCATGCATCTGCTTCTGTTTTGACAGTATTTTTTTTTTTTTTTTTTTTATTGTTTATACTCCTGCCCTATTGGCCTTACGCACTTCGACAAGAGTCCCCGAGAAATACTTTTTTGGATTAAGCATAACCATTCTACTTTAGAAATTTTTCTATATATTAACCTAATTTGCGTCTACAGCCGACTTTATTAGGAGTACTCGCATTACGCCTGGACCACCCGTCAATGGGTTTTCTCGCCAGAGAAGAGGGAAACTGTAGAAAACCTCTCTGAGTACAACCGGTTTATCGACAGTCGAGTTCTAATGGTGTGTACCGGACAATAATCGACGGTGCACATCATTATACCTCGACGTCAAACCTCCCGCTCAGATTGTCTCACGTGCCGGAAAAATACCAAGCCAAGTGGGCGCGAACCAAGGATACTTATACCCTTGGTCCTTAAACGACCACCAACGCCAGGCATTTATTTGACTGAGCCAATCTGTCGGTATTGTTTTGACAGTATTTACCTGTAATGCTTTCGTGTAAATTATCGTGGATTTGTAAAACGATTGTTTATTATATTTCGTGTCTAATTTTTGTAAGGGAAGCGTTCCGGTTGTGGGCACCCTTTTGTTTTTTCCTCATAACATTTGTCCATGTGCATATTATACAAATATATGTGTACGAATTTAAAGCTAGAGGTCTAAGGTGACTGTCAGTGAAGGAATTAAATTGATTCCTTTAAATAAAAAAGTTTTATTAGAAATTTAGTGAAATGGGAATTTTTTGACAAAAAAAAATTTTGTACCCGGTTGTGGGCACCCTTGAAAAATCCGCTAAAAATGAAAAAATATTAAAGGAAACCAACACAAATAAAGAAAAAATGAAAGTTTTTTTATTTTAAGAGAATTTGCCGGGATAAAGAACAAAAATGATGACACGTTTTCACACTATGCTCATCGCTAACAAAAGCATAATGCTTGCATGTGAAGTAGCTAGTACGCAAACCATAACGCACTTCTAATGCACTGAACGACTATATTCATAGCATTTAATGGAGTTTGCAGCTGTCACTTTCCTTGGCAGAAAGTTTAGATAGATGAGACAGTAGTCCTCATCATTGTCAGATGGTAGAGCCTCCTTAACATAAAGGTGCCCACAACCGGGAATGACAGTCATTTTTTAAAAAGACCAACACATTTTGTGATGCAGGATTTTGGTTAAACACGAAGGTGAATCACAAAATATAATGACAACACTTCCCCTACATAAAATGGGGTTTTCACATATATCAAAATTGCTGTTTTCTCGGAACCTTTGGAAATATAGATAGTTCGTGTTTTACAAATTAAACTATTTAATTATATTAGCCAATTCTTTCAGACTTTTTTAATTAGGTTTCAATATAAATCGTCGAAATTTTTACGCACGTGGTAACAACATTTTTAATATTTTAATCGCGCAGTGTTTTTGAAAATTTACCATTGCAATAATTAGTGTATTAAAATTTATTTTCATTTAATTGGCATAAATAATTAAAAATTAATAGTTTTTGACAAGTAGATAAAATTGTGTACTTGAAAGATATAAAACATCATCTGATTAAGTATTGTATTTTGACTTGAGAATCTAGTGTCTATTAAAAGTAAAAATACCAAGTCGTGTTTAGTGTATTGGTTATCGTTCCGGGTTTCAAAGTGCGTATTCGTTAGATTCAGGTGTTCGCGTCCCCCCAGCGTCAAATATTTATTTCATAAGTTTAAATTAATTCTAAGGTATATAAATACAAGGTCAAATATAAATATGTTCAAATACAGTAATTAATTTTTTTCTTTTTTATTTTAATTAGTTTTTCTCTTTTATTTGATAATAAGAATTTGATTAGCAATGTCAAATAATTATGATACATAGTGTAAATCTAATATTATTCTCCTAGTCAATTTAACTAATTTTCCTGGTCACTTTAACTATGCTTGAATTTTATTACTTTGACTAGGATTCTATAGTAGGTTCCTCTCGTAACTAGGAAACCTAGTCAATTCCTGGTATACGTGTCCTAGGCATTTTTTTCGGTGTTTCTAAGTGAGAAGAGATATCGAGTTGAGATTTTTCAATTTAATTAGAGGAGAGCTTACTGATAGAGAATCTTCTCCATATTCACAAGCATATAGTTACAAAGTTACAACATAGTTAAAAAGTTGCATTTTTGGCGAAGATGACAGACAATATAGCAGCGAGCACACGGACAATTGGATCTATGTGTCAGTTGTCAAGAAGAAGGTGGCATGGCGCTAATTAGAGCTAGTGACCGCGGCTAAACTAAAAAAATTACTCAACCTCAAATTACTCTACATTATTTCTTTTTTAAAATCACTTTTTCGCCAAATTATTGTCAAAATGGAGACAACCCCCCTGCAGAATACTATTCTCTATCATTCCAAATAAATTTTATCTCGAAATATCGTATTCAAGCAATAAATAGTGTATCTTATCACGGTTGTCTTCAAGCCCTTTTAGGTTTACCTAAAATGAGTCAAAATTGTGCTAACGCAGTTTTATCTGGAATCGGTCCAAGATTCCAAATTTTCATTTCCGAAAATCGTAGCTGATTCTTTTTTCGAAAAAAAACATATATGTGACGCGCTCCCAAGAAAGGTACCTAAGAAGCAAACGAATTATAGGTTGGGTTCGAGTTAGATTTATCTTGATTAAAAGTTAATTTTTAATTATTTGAATTTGAAACCAATATTCATTGAATATTTTGAATATAGTGAAGACTTGAAGACCAACAATTTTTAATTAATAATTGATTCTCTTTCTGTATTTTTACTTACAAAATTTAAAACATAACCTCAAATTTTTTGCTTCTTAGGTACCTTTCTTGGGAGCGCGTCACATATATGGGCATATCTCTAGAACTTTTAAACTTTCAGGTATTGGAAAACTTAATTTTTCTTTTTAAGGTACATTCTTGAAATTAATTTTATTGTTTTGTGCATTGTTAACCCCCCTGCGTGTATGAGTTTAACCTCAAGAAAATGTTTCTAAATGCATAGATTTTTCATAAAGTTGGATTTTGCACATCAATCGGTATCTTGGGGTTTATAGGGTAGCTGATTACGAATATGATGTTAATTTTTCAAAATTCAAAATGGCGGACAAAATTTTAAATAAATTAATGGATTTCCACAGCATTGGATATTCATATGTTTTTGGGGGAGCTGATTATGATTCTGTAGTCAGATTTCGAAAATTTCAAATGGCGGATGAAAATTTAAAAAATAATTCAATTTGCACAGAAGTGGGTATGAAGGGGTTTTTGGGGTCGCTAATTATCATGAATCTGAATTTAGTTTTTTTCAAATTTTAAAAGTGGTTTCAAAATGTGAAAAATTATTGATATTTTAAATTCTGTTTTAAAAATATTTTGGGATTAATTATAATTAAAAAGCAATAGAAGTAAATAAGTAAATAACCACGAGATATAATTATTTTAATATTCTAAAAAATTTTCTAGTTTTATTTTATATTAAAAGTACGAACAGTATGAACAAAAAATGAATAACGTTTAATTGAAAGTTTTACTTCCCTTTCTTTATCCATAATTAATATTATTTAAATAAAATACATAATATCTACATTCGGCAATCAAAACATTTTGACACATTAAAAATTATGTTACCATAAAAACTTAGAAAAAAAGAAGTTTACAATTCTAAAAACAGAATAAAATTTAAATGATAAATTAAATGAATAATTTAATATTAAATTAAGCTTATGAAAATAAAATGATTAAAATTGATTAATTCTTGTTATCTTTAAAATTCTTCAATACTGTTAAAATTTCCAAAATTTTTAAGTCCTATTATCTATAAAAGTCTAGTAAATTTTTTTTAACAATTCTTGAATTACATTCAAATCATTATATAACAACGAAAAGTTAAAAAAAAATCATGCAAAAAGATTTGATTTTTCAGAAATGTATCCACCATATTGGATTTTCTATTTAAAATTTTTTAAAAATTATTTCAAATTCGTAATCAGCAAAACAGGAAACTCTTAAATGTCAAAAGATGTTAAAATCTGATAATTTTTCTAAAATTTCGTCCGCCATTTTGGATTCGCCATTTAAAATTTTTTTTAACTAACTTCAAATTTGTAATCAGAGGACCTCAGAAACCTATAAATAATAAATTTTAGGCAAACTTGCGAGTTTAATGCTTTCTTTTTCCATGAAGCAATGATTATGACAGTAGAAGCTCATATTCTTTCTTAGATAAATTCTTTTTAGGAATAGTGTAGAGGTTAACGACTTTTCTATATACTTTTATAATGTACGAAAAGAGATTACAATGAGTCAAAAGTGATTAGAAGTCAAATTCAACATGTGCCCTTCAAAAATGTGGGTTTTTATTATGAGTTTCGTTTTTAAATTTAACATTTGAAGTCACTGCATTCCTAATGTATAAGTGGCACATATTCCTGTAAGGGTTCAAATTACTTCTTATTATGTAGACAATGTAACCCCGTTCTATGGTTACTTAAAAATCTTCGTTAAAAAATTTATATCAAGTTAAATGCTAAATTGTCAAAATTTAAGAAAAGTTGTCTCGCAAGTTTGAAGGTACACCATTTTTATCTTAATTGAGGCACATAATTGTCTCAATGATTTTTTGGTTTCTTATACTCCCCACTACATCTACTATAAGTCACAAATATGATATTTTGCGAAAAATGATTTGTACGCAATACAATGCAATGGAAACACAAAATATAAACAGATATTTAAAAACACTTAAAAAACCAACAATAAACATATTCTTATCTATAAAATAAATTAAAACCCTTCACGGAACGACTAGAAATGTCAAGCGCGAGAAATATTTCCTTCTCGGGAAATTTAAGTCAACTTACGTACGGCAAACCTATAGCTGTGAGCTGTCTCGTGAGTTTTATATCAAAAACAAGCTATTGAGGACACAAAAAATGGCAATACTTGGCTCTGTTCAATATCAAACTGTAGATCAGAAATCGGCAGTGTTGCACATCCCCACATGTTTCACATCACCCCACATCACCCTATTTTTTATTTTTGTTTAATTGTCCAAATTTTCGAGTTATGAATTTTCGAAATTTTGGACTTATAATTGTAGACCTATATTTAGTAGCTTATAAGTCCGAAAATATTGAGTTTAGGAAAAAGTTGTCAAAGAATGAAAGTTTTAGTTTTCTTTTGACTTTCAAAAAATGTAAACAAAAAAATTGTTTTTAAATTTTTTTTTATAAACAAATCAATTTTTTTTAACTTTGGCCCGGATCTTTTTTATTTTTTTTAAATTTATTTATTCCTTATAATATAGAGAAGATTTTCCAAAAAATCCCGAGGTGGGACTTATGTGTTCAATGAGTTTTAAAACATTTTCAAAAATCACTTGCAAGCATTACAGTGGGATTTTTTTTACAATTAACTTCTGAAAACTGTCTATAGCGTTTAATTTTTAATCTATTTGAGTGTTCTTTTTTTAATTATAAAGGATCTACGCTGTAGACAGTTTTAGAAGTTAATTGTAAAAAAAAATACCACTGTAATGCTTGCAAGTGATTTTTGAAAATGTTTTAAAACTCATTCAGCACATCAGTCCCACCTCGGGATTTTTAGGAAAATCTTCTCTATATTATCAGGAATAAATAAATTTTAAAAAAATTAAAAAAATCTGGGCCAAAGTTAAAAAAAATTAATTTGTCTATAAAAAAAAATTTAAAAAAAAATTTTTTTGTTTACATTTTTTGAAAGTTGAAAGAAAACTAAAACTTTCATTCTCTGACAACTTTTTCCTAAACTCAATATTTTCGGACTTATAAGCTACTGAATATAGGTCTACAATTAAAAGTCCAAATTTTCGAAAATTCATAACTCGAAAATTTGGACAATTAAACAAAAATAAAAAATACGTATCTGTTTTCTTCGATACAGAATGTAAAAAAAATATTTTTGACCGATTTTAAGAGGTCGACTAAAATCTTACGTGGAATTGTCCATATATATATATATATATATATATATATATATGTTTTTTTTGGTTTTTTTCGAAAAAAGAATCAGCTACGATTTTCGGAATTGAAAATTTGGAATCTTGGACCAATTCCAGATAAAACTGCGTTAGCACAATTTTGACTCATTTTAGGTAAACCTAAAAGTACTTGAAGACAACCGTGGCGCGAAAATACATACGTGCACCAATTTTTAGCTTTCTAGATGAAAAACTGTGAGCGCTAGGGGGGGGCTACATGGTCATTTTCCGTAACCGTTTTAATAGGGTTCCTACCGGGTAAGGAACCCTAAAAAAATCTGTAAATAGTTAAATTTCTGCGAAATTTTCATTATTTATGAAAATAATTTAGTGTTTGCTTAGAATTTATCAACACTTTTTTTAAATAATTGAAATCTTTTGAAATTGAGGAAAATTTTTGAATAAGTTATTAAAATTTTGCTAAGAATTTTATCAAAATTTTTGAAAATAATTAAATTTTGGAGAAGAATTTTATTATTTTTAAAGATAATTGAAATTTTGACGTGGCATTTTTAACATTTTTTGAACATAATTGAATTTCTGCGAAGAATTTTATTATATTTCAGAATAATTGAATTCATAAAAACAATTTTATTATTTATGTAAATAATGGAAATTCTGCGATGAGTTTTCAAACAATTTTGTTAAAAAAAAATGCGTTACATATTTGATATCAGTTGCCCTATTATTCATCACCAAAAAGAAATTTGAAAGTCTAACAAAACATTGTCTGACAATGGTAATTATGATTTATTGTGACGTTATCCTGAATGTCGCTCGAAAACAGGCAATGCAAAATAGAACGTTATTTGACAAATTTTATTTTGACATCAATAATATTTGTCAGAGTCAAAAAATAAATAAGCAACCCCTCAAAAAGAAAAAATATAAATGTCAAATTTTGTTTTTTATTGTTTCAGGGCGGAAATGACTTCAAGGGAACTGGAGAATCACCACAAGCAGAACATAAATTTAGGTAAGCGTCTACTTATGTTTATAAAACTGAAGAAGGCATTCGAGTGTTTTTTTAAAGGACTTTTTTTACAATAAAATTCTATATTTAAGGATCAACTACATCCGTTACGTTCTTCTGACTAATTTTGCTTCCTCGTGAAGGAAGCTTTGTAGTCGTTCAATTTACAAAATTTTTTAAAATCCTTAAATCAAATTTTCTTCTATATAGGACTATGTTATATAAGACCCTGAACAATTGTCCGGATGTATGTGTGTGTGTGTGTGTGGATCCCGTTTTTTGTGAACACGATAACTTGAAGAGGTTTTAACGAATTTGGCTTAAATTTGCCAAGTATATTTATCATAAAAATATCTCGAAATATCTCGTCTTTGAAAAATCCTCAAAAAAAATTTTTTTTTACTTTTTTCTAAAATTTTTTTTTCTAAGTTGGTTATTGAAGTTAATACCTATATAATAAAATCTTATTCTTTGCATCAAGACGAATCGATTGGTATATATAAAGTATATATTGTATTTAAATTTATAGAATTAAAACCAATTATAGACAAAAAACACGGTCAATTTTATTTTAATAGGCCTTCTTTTGTAGATAAATACCCAAAGAATAATTAAGTGAAATTTAAAAAAAATCTGCCGAAAACGAATCGACGCGACAAATACCTTAATTACAATTAAAGTTGAAAAATTTACTTTTTGACTAAAATTTTTTTTGTTTATTTAGATTCATATTACTGTATAAGAAAATGTTATTCTTTCTATTAAGACGAATGAACTTTATTTTATAAATGTTAAATTGTATTAAAAATGGTTTAAAAATTAAATATACTTGTCGTTAATGCTTTTTCCACGAGGAAGCAAATTTTTTTGCTGATCGTAAAGAGGAAGGAAAATGTTCATGTAATGAACATCTGGATTTACAACTTGTTATTTAAATCATAGCAAGCTTATCGTATTTATTTGCTGAATAGAATTTTTTAAAGATTGAATAGTGAATGACACTAATTAAAAATTTTACACCCCTAAAAGTTTCTTAAAAGTTGAAATTAACTTGATTAGTACTACTTAACTAGTAGTTAAAATTACTGAAAAAAATTATATTTATTTCTGCATTTTACAGTTAGACAATAACTAATCTGTAGAGCTGTGCAAAATAATTCGAACCGAACTGTTAGAATTTTTTCGCTTAGTTCGAATGTCGAATATTCGACATTCGAACTAGGAGATTCAAATGTCGAATTTTCGACATTTCGGTGCCCCAAAACCGAACAAAACTCGGTTCGGTTCGAATTTTGCACAGCTCTACTAATCTGTCATAATTCTTTTCACTACAGTTTGTTACTAGTGTCGCCCGGAACTACAAGAAATAGTTAAAAAGTAGTAAAATTTACCAGTTTGTTACGTGCAATTGCACATATGACATTAAAGTAGCAAATTTTTGTTTTAATTTTGCATTCGTCAAAAATATAAAAGATATATTTTTCAAGCAACAGTTGTTTTCTACGTAAAATAAAAAACAACATTTGATACTCCACAGACTGGAAAAACAAACACGTTATTTGGTTTCAACGCATAAAAAATAGGATTACTATATTTACAGTTTATTTTCTAAATTGTTAACGTTTCATTTTATTTACATTTTTTCAAATGGAAAAAAATATAAATACTCTGAATACACGTATAGTTGACTAATTTAAATCAAATAAAATTGACAAATTTGGGAAAAATTGTAAATTTTCACGTTTGAAAAACAAATTGTTAATTCATAAATCAAAATGAAATAGAACATATTTATATGCTGTAGTATTGGCAAATTTATAAATAGTCTAATACACGGATGCAGAAAAAATGTATGTACATATATTAGGTAATTTAAATAAATATTCATTTATAATATTCCATAAAATTGATTATACATGAATAAATCGAAATTTCATATTTTTTATTTTTATTACTCTTTGGTTCATTTCAGATGCATAGTTAAGTTATTCTTTTAATGCAATTTTAGAGAGGTGGTTCTGTTAGGAAATTTTACTACAGTTGCAGAACTGCTACCACTTTGAATCCATCGTAAAATGTTACTTGGATACTAGCTCCCAATAAAGCTTTTATGATGAACTGGTAGGGCAATTCTGTAAATCTGCGTTTGTTAAATTACATAAAAAATATTCTCGCCTCCAATACGAGCTCTTTGAACTCATATTGTATTAGTAAAATTTTTGTATTTATTTTCATATTTAAAATAATATTTATATATTATATAAAATTATGTATTGATGAAATTTAAATATGTGTCAAATGTAATTATTATTAATATTTGAAAGACAAACAGTTTTTATTTTTAGAATTAGTTTTTTAAAACTATCCGAATAATAAGACTTAATATTTGATCTATTGGAGAATATTCTTGTAATTTTATTCAGAATTATTCAAGTTTTAAAAATATAAAATTTATTTATATTTATTGTAAAGAACTTAAAGGGAATTTAGAAACACATAGATTAATCTATTTCTAACCTGCGAGTGAATATATAGTGGAATTTTTAAAATTTATAAAAACTAAAAACTTTGATTTAACTGACATTTCAGAAAATTATTTAAGAAAGATGATTGTTTGTCTTCTAAATTAATATAACCAACTTAAAAAATATCTAAAAACACATAGATTGACCTATTTTTAAACACTTTATGATCATATTTTTATTGTATTTAATGATAATCATACACGGAGAGAGATTCTGTTTTAATATTTCGTATTATTATATTAGTATTTAGAAGGAGTTTACACCGTAAGCCTTAAATATAAGCCTCCGCGCGCATAAACGGATATACCTCCAGGAGCATATATTTGCGCCTGCGCGAACACGTGGTCAAGGCAAACTCTTTCACAACACAGCTGTAGGCAAACACTTTGCGCAGACGCAAGTATATCCTCATGGAGGCATATCCGTTTATGCTCTCGGAGGCTTATATTTAAGGCTTACGATGTAAACTCCTTCTTAGTAAAACCGATTGCAATTTGGGGAAATCATGTACATTTATGAATTAATATTACCATTTTTAAGAAAGTTTATAATCAAATTATTACTTTGTATTATTCTGAAGTAATAGAAATTGACATAGTCAATAAGAAATTTTAATATTATAAGTAAGAAAGTATGCAATAGTAAAAAGTATTACCAGATGATTATACTAAATACTATCGAAGAATTACATAAGTTGTTAATTTAGTAATGAATAGTATTATCGACTATAATAAAAATTATGACCAGCCTAGTAGCAGGTCATAGCAGGCTATGGGCTGACGTCAGGCTGACGTAGAGCGCGGTTACGAAACTGTCCGAGATTAGCCGAATATTTCAGTCGAGCAGTTCCGAAATTATCCGAGTCAAACCTCATGGCAACATGTGCACGTTGTGTTTACCCCAAAACATTTTAATTTGATGTGTCAAAATGTGTCAGAATTGGGTGAAAAATTTTATTTTGTTCATTCAATAATTTTAATCGACAATGAAGATTTCCTAATTGTAGTAAAAGGCATAGTCCATTGTCTTTTAAATGAGCATTTGAGAGCTTTCAAAATTTACACAGAAAAAAATTAATCTCTAAATTAGAGATTTAATATGAGATTAAGGCATAAACAATCACTGGAATCGGATGTGTGATTTGAACAGATCTCTAAAACTGAAATTTAGAGTTATATCTAATCCGCATATTAGCAGTGTGAAGAATCCGTATTTTTATGCCTAAAAATGATAACAGAAATCTCAAATTTTATGACATAGAACATATAGTTCTAAAATATCAACTTATTTCAATAAATTGAAATCTAATATATTATTAGAATAAACTATTAAAGATTTTACCCAGTGGGAAATTTCCAACCGGCGCGGATCCTCGCCTGTACCGACGCCGGAGTAGTGGTACTGGCTGGGAACCGCCTGCCTACCGCCCGAGAACTGGTATTCTACCAAAAGATGACTTGGCCAGGAGCTGGCTGGCCATCCGTCTCGGAACTGGCATTCTACCGCCCGGTAACCGGCCGCGAAGAGCCGTTCCGTGTATAATTCAACCGGCTGGGACCCGGCACTGTACCGACTGCGGATCTTTAATTTCCTAGTCAGATGTGCGCTGGCATTCTACCGCCTGACAACCGGCTCGGATCAAAATGATAATTTCAACAAATATCAATAAAAAATAATAATTAATTGCAAAAGATAAATACGGATGACAATTCATTGACAGTTCACTTTACACATTTTTTTATTTCTTTATACACTTAAACGCAATTTTTTATTACATACACATTTGAAAAATCCTAACGCTTGGGGGTACGAACCTACGCCTAACCGAATATTTACGCACCGAAATCTCGCACGCTAACCACTATGCTACGCTCGCATGGAACTCTCAAACCTTAAATGCTTTCAAGTCTCACTAGCTGAAATAAAAATTGTAAAATTACTACGCGGCAATAGGCAATTTGGAAATACGAACTGATGTAATACCGGTATATTTTCAATACTTTACTGAATGTGTATTTATGAATATTTCGTTTAAAAAAAAATGTTATATTTTTATTATTATGTTTTTTAATATTTTATTACATAATATATCGAATAATATGAACATAACTTCACTGCAAAACAATTTATAACATATAAGTAATAGTATTAAGGGGGGCGCCTACTTTATCGGGTCAAAAAAATCGATTTTTTAAAAGTTGTCTTAACTGAAAGTACAACTATAAGAGAATATGCTCTTAAAATATTACGTCAAAATACAAAGTATTTTTCGAGTTACAGCTTGTAGAACGCAATAAAGCGCGTGGCCTGGCGCTTGGCCTGGCGCGCGATTCCACTCGCGGTCTCGAATACTTTTCATAATTTGTCGCGCTTATCTACTATTACACCTACCATTAAAATTACCATTTATCAGTAAAATGTCTTCTTATCCAAGAGCTACACATAAAAAAATAGTCGTTCATCGAGGCCGCGAAACAG